GCTACCATAATGAGTTCAAAGACCGCAATTATAGTACATGTAGATACAACCAAATGGGAAAAAAAAGAAACCATATTCAAACAAACCATACTCAATAAAGATCGCAACTATAGGCATCAGCTACATAGCTGAAAAAGTCTGAACGAGATCGAATTATATTTTTCTTTTACAAGAAGCCAGCCAGCCAGACCATTAATGTGCTTAACATATTTTGTGGCTGTCTCTATAAAAAGAATATGAGCAATTTTAGTAACGTTTTCATTATGCTACATAAACTCCCTTCTTACGAAGCGCAGTGGTAATTTTTTTTTTAATCTAATGGCCAGTGTTTTCTTTTGCTTAATTTTGTTTTCTTTAGTAAGATTTCTTGACTGTGAAGCTGTTTGCCCAGAGACACACAACACGACATCTTTCGTCTACTTCCTCTGTATGCTAAAATGAGCTAACAACCATTAGATTGTCAAGTTCCCGAAACTTGTTTGAATGTTCTAGAAGAAAGTAGAGCCATGGACAACACAACACTGGACATCTGCGATAGAGGTGCCTGGGTCACAAGCTACGAAATGACCTTGCCATTTACAGTCCTGCAGCCGATGGTCATGGTCTTGTCCATCTTCTTCAACACAGTGCTACTGGTCACCATTTGCTGCAGCCACCTGCTGAGAACAAGCACCCACATCTTTATGGCCTCCCTGGCTTGCAGTGACATCGCCTTGTCTCTACATGGTACCATTTACACAGCCTTTCTTATATACGGTCAACATGTTTGTTATTCGATGGAAACCTCGAATATTCTAGATCGGCTGCTATTCTTGACGTCAACCATTAGTTTGACGTCGAATTATCTACATATAGTCACTGTGTCGGTGGAGAGATGGTTGTATATTGCCCGACCTTTTCTACATCAAAGAATAATATCCCCAAAATTAACAGTATACGCCATTATTGTTCTTTGGGTTGGTTCCGTCTTTCTTAACGTTGATGGATTCATTTTGCCCCTCAAACATTATAAAAATGTTTCGGAATTTAAAATTAACACAATCTTTCCATGCGAGCATCTGGTGACATGCCTAATTTTGTGCGTTGTTTATGTTCACCTGACGATAATAATTCGTAAACAAATGCGTGCCATAAATAAAACACGAGTAGTTGATATGTCTGCACGAAGTCAGTACGTGGACATGAAAGAGACTAGAGGACTTCAGCGGACTGTAACAACAGGTGACACAAGACAACCTCAGGCTGAGGCAACAAACAGTATAAGACCTCAATATGCCGGAACAGAGAGAATAAGACATAAGCTTTTAGATACAGTAACACCGAAATACACGGGAGCTATAGATAATACACAAGTCTATGTCAAAACAGATAAAATAATACCTCAACAAGTAGAAACAGATAGCTTAACACTTGAACAGATGCAATTATTAGATAACATTAGAGATTATGTCAGTGAGGCAACAGACAAAACAAAACCTCCACAGTCTGAAACAACAGATAAAATAGAATCGCACCACGTAGAAACAAGAAATAAGATAAAATCTATCCACACAGAAACAACAGATGAAATAGGATCTCACAACACAGAAACAACAGATAAAGCAGGACTTCAGCATACAAACACAACAGATAAAATAACATCTAACCACAGAGAAACAACACATAAAATAGGATCTCACCACACAGAAACAACAGATAAAACAGGACTTCAGCACACAAACACAACAGATAAAATAATATCTATCCACAGAGAAACAACACATAAAATACGATCTCACCACACAGAAACAACAGACAAAAGATTAGGATCATTGTTTCGGCAGTTGAAGAGCATTCGACTTCTAGTGCTGGTGTTTGGAACATTCTTAGTCCTGCTGAGCCCAGGGATCTTCTTCCATTTCTACCAGCAGTATATCTCTAGTAGTCCAGGAGATGAAACAGTCCACAAGATCCTCAAACTGTTTACCTTCTCTCATGGATATGTTAGCTGCATAGTCTATAGCACCCAGGATCGCATTTTCAGAACTGTGTTGAAAACTTTCCTGAGGAAGATATCGTGTTGTAGTTCCATACATAATCGAATCCACGTTCCGGAGATTCCACTCTAAATTTAAGAAAGGCAAATTTGGCATACAGTTCTAGAGCTAAATTGTATTGACCAATCGGTACTTAGCTGTTGACGTAGTCAACATACACAGGCTCCCTTTAATTCTCCAGATTTTCACATGGTACTTATTAAGGCTTGATCCAAGTGATAGCCAAAGTCATTTTGGAGAAAAAAAAAAACCACATTAAAAACAAAATAAAAAGTTTTGCTTCGTCAGGACTTGAAAGCACCACCTTCAGATCGACATGCGAGCTATGACCTGAAAGCACTCCCTTAAGATCCACATACGAGCTAGGACCTGAAAAAAACTACCTTCAGATTCACATACGAGCTAGGACCTGAAAGCACCACCTTCAGATCCAGATACAAGCTAGGACCTGAAAGCACCACCTTCAGATCAAAAAACGAGTAAGGATTTGAAAGCACCACCTTCAGATCCACATGCGAGCTAGGACCTGAAAGTACGACTTTCAGATCCACATGCGAGCTAGGACCTGAAAGTACTACCTTCAGATCCACATGCGAGCTTCTAGCCGCTACACTACGACAGCTCCCAGTCCATTAATAACTAAAATAAAAAAGAGAACCCTTGTCAGAGCTTGGAAAGATATCGCAAGCATCACGTCCTTCTCCACACAGGACTGCAGATCACACCGGGGGCGGGGAGGGGGGGGGTTGTGTGTGGTCGTTATAGAGTCTTTGGAGGTTCAACAGAGCTTGCCATGTTCGTTTGCCACCAGCACTGAGACTTTGCTAGGCTAACGGAGACTGTCTTTTAGGTCATGTTGGTCTGCAATCCAGACTGTGATCTACTCAACTCTTGGTGTTTGCTTTTTAGATAGCAGATCAGAAGGGATAAGGTGTACTGCCTTTTTATTTTTAAACCTGAATTGGTAACTGATAAATGACGTGGTTAATATCATGTACGCCGTAGAGAGTAATTCAATCATAAATGTTTGAAATGTATCCGTTTAATTTAAAAATTACTTTTCTAAACAAGGAAATCAGTTTAAAATTGTGAGTGCCTGCTTCTTCCATGTAGCAACCAATGGATATGAATCGCGGACAATCCCCCAGTCTTTACTAAAGAAAATATGGAATTTTAAATTAAAATTCAATAAAACGGTTCTCAGAATAACTTGGACAAAGAAGAACAGAAATACTGACATTCCTAAAGATTAGAACGTAAGTGAAGTTTTGCTAATAAACAGCATTTTGTTTCGGTAGCTGAAATATTTTGGTCAGATAAAAGAAAATATATATATAACAATAAATCAAAAGGTATGGTAGCAGGAAGGGGGTGCAGGGGTCGACCAACATGAAGATGGACACAAGATATAAGCGACTCCTTGGATATGAAAGTGCACGAGGGGGGGGGGGGGGCTGGTGAGAGACCAAGTTTCTGTCAGGCTGACCGTGACAAGAACGACGTTCTGCAAAGAACCTGCTACATGATATGACGACTTCTCTAGAATACCAGTTGCTGTCAGTTGCCATGTACAAAAAGGTTAAAAAAAAGTAACGTCGGGAGATGTGTACCAGCGTCATTGCATACTTTTGTAAGCCATAATTGCTTTGCCACTAGTACAGTCAGCTGATAAGAAACTGTCCACCTGTGTCGCCGTTCGCACACAACTCCGTAGCTACAGCGACGTTTCTCCATTTACCCTAGTAATAACTCTGGTACCCATTATCTAGAGGCTGGGTGAACCCCGGGATTCGCCCAGTTTCAAACACCAGTTGCCATAAATGGCAGCTGGAATGTTGGTTACATGAATAAGTCATTCCCTGTCTGGACCAGACTTAGGTACTTCCCAACTCTCGGGGCGCCCAGTTTAACCTTACTGTTGAGTGACGTTTACTGGGATATATTCAGTCAGATTCTCACTCTTGGGGTGGTAATCCTAGCGGCAGCAATCCTGTCAGGATAAAACCGCAGTGGTGGTTCTAAACCCTGTCAGTACCCACCAAATCCCCAAACGTTTATTTGTTATTCTACAGAATTGAAACATTTCATTAATGTGTCGTGGCATTTCTTGTTGTAGTTCATTACAGTTCATCCCACTTGTTAGTGTAACCTTTCGTGTCCCGTGGGATTTATCCCTTTAACCCATTATTAACTTCCCGTGGAGCTCTGGGGTCTAGCTGTGGACAAAATAAGAATAGGTCTGCTGCCTCACTAACAAGCATGTCGTAGGGGTCAACTAATTGGGAGCTTCCTTTGAAGACAGAGTCCATCTGCCCGAGAAGCAAGGAACAACCAACTGCACATAGATAAGTCAGTAAACCTGATGTACACGCAAATTCTGGCTCTGACACACAGCAGAAGTCCAAACGGACGAACAGGCAAGACTTTCAGACTGAGCTTACAGCCTGTTAACAAAAAAGAGGTACACATTATTGCTAAAATAAATTAGGTTTTTTTTTTTTTTAATTTCTTAAATAGGATACTTTAGAGCGCACAAATTTAGAAAACAATACAGTTCCATGTGGGGGCTACAAGGGTCCCATTTTGGGGAAACATGAGCAGACCTTCCTAACAAGCATGATGTGACTAGTTAGACGAGTTTCCATCGACGTAAGGATGTCTTTGTGTGGTATGCTGAACTTTTAGATACAGCCAGTTTTAAATGTTGACATTTTTTTCGTTTTCTTTAAATTCAAGAACAGATTTTGATCTTTACTGTGCTTTTGGATTACTAATACATACGACGAGATAAGGAGAACTCTGCCTTGTTAACATTTATGGCAGCCAATCCTGGAGGAAAGTCAAAAACAAAATTAGCGCAAAACAATGTAAGAATTTGACTGTGAGGAATTCTGTCTAAGATTGTTGACAGACACTCTGAGGGTAGACATCGTGTGCCTCTTTAAGAGTGGTGTCTGTCTGAGTCTAGACATCTTGTGTGTCTTTAACAGTGGTGTCTGTCTGAGTGTAGACATCTTGTGTCTCTTTAAGAGTGGTGTCTGTCTGAGTGTAGACATCTTGTGTCTCTTTAAGAGTGGTGTCTGTCTGAGTGTAGACATCTTGTGTGTCTTTAACAGTGGTGTCTGTCTGAGGGTAGACATCTTGTGTCTCTTTAACAGTGGTGTCTGTCTGAGTGTAGACATCTTGTGTCTCTTTAACAGTGGTGTCTGTCTGAGGGTAGACATCTTGTGTCTCTTTAAGAGTGGTGTCTGTCTGAGTGTAGACATCTTGTGTGTCTTTAAGAGTGGTGTCTGTCTGAGGGTAGACATCTTGTGTGTCTTTTTTTTTTTTTTTAAATCCAGAAGCCATGAGTTGTTAACCCTTAGGCTAGGTATTATGGATATCGCAACCTTTGGCCTTGATTCCATGATAAATACCGTAAATCTGGGATAAATATGGCTTTTCTGCCTACCCTTCGGCGTGAACCCGAACCACAAGGAGTTAGTCACTCTGTCACCGCGCAGTCTGGTTAGCCAACTACGTTTGAGGACCGGGCCTGTGTGTCTTTTAGAGTTGTGTTTGTCTGAGCATAGACATCTTATTTAAGTGTAAGATGGTGTCTGAAAGTAGACAACTTGTTTGAGTATAAGACTGTTGTCTCTCTGAGGGTAGATACCTTGGTTGTCTGTACATTTACTGTGTGTCTGACTGTATCTTACTGCTACATCTGTAAGACTTTTGACTGTTACATTGCTGGTGTGTTATAAAACACACACAAAACCTGGATGTGTTGATGAATCAATAAAAAGCAAAATAATTTTTTTTTTTTTTTTGTTACTGACAATGAGTCATTGTTATATGTTTATTATCCCAGTTGCAGGGCGGTTTGCAATATAGACCTACCATGTAGAACATTAAATGAAAACTCGTGCAGTTTGCAGTCTCATGTTTTGTGCCTGTTTGTGTGTGTGTGTATGTGTGTGTGTGTGTATATAATTATGTGTGTGTGTGTTTCGCTTTCAATAAAATCAATCTGATTACAAAGAAAATTGACACTCCAAAATGCAACACCACAGTAAATGGAACAAATCTGAAGAAAGTTGATATGTTTAAGAACCTGGGTGCCCTGATAACATCAGATGGAAGATATACTAGGTTAGTTGCGTATCCTTTACAGGACGTTGCAGAACCAACCCCAACAGCCCCTGACTGTTGTATGGATTTTCTAGGCAAATTTACGTCCAGTAGTTTAAAATATGTTTGTTGCGAAACCTTTACAGGACTTTGCAGAACCAACCCTAACAGTCCCTGGCTGTTGTGTGGTTTCTTTTGGCAAATTTACGTCCAGTAGTTTGCCATTGCTGACTGGACGGTCGGCTCCCTGATACCACTGTCGAAACCAACGCAAGGCGCATAGCCCGCAGCTGGGATCTAACCCGGCATTCCGGCATTACAAGCGAAGCGTTCGCATTGACTTAGCCACAGAGCCGACGGAAGTTATACTAAAGAAGTTAAATATAAAATACCCAAAGTAAAGGCAGCATTTTACAAAAGAAAGAATATTTTATGAAATCTTTCTTTGTCAACTGAGACAAGAAGGAGAATTTTAAAATCTATATAAATCATATCTTGATATACGGAAGTGAATCATGGACAGTTGGCTGATTAGTGCAAACCTATTTGGAAGCTACTGAGATGAGGTTTTATAGACACATGATGAGAATACCCTGGACACATTTACAAAGAGTAATGAGGATGTCTTGAAAGAAACGAGCTCACGAAGAGAACTGATATCCCACATCAGAAAGAGACAATCTACATTCTTTGGTTATGTGATGAGAAGGAGAAAACTGGAGTACATTGTGACGGTAGAAAAGTTGGAGGGGAGGAGAGGCTGAGAGAGACGGAGAGACGAGATGCTGGACAATTTGACATCGTGGCATAGAGGATCAGCTGTGTCAAAGGTGACCGAAAGTACACGAGACAGAAGGTTGTGGATAGCGTGTTTAACAAGCTGAAGACAGAAAAAGATGGCGGTTTTTGTGAGCTAGTGCTTTCATCAATACACATCCACGAGCCTATCCTATCAAGGTTTACGTTATGTTATGTAATGGAAAAGAAACCATACGGACCAGCTCACATCGAATATGGGTGTTAGCTTGTTAAATTATTCAAAAAGCACCTAATAAAGAAATGGGCTATCCTCCGAATAAGGGTCCTAAATTATCGAGCCGGAAAATATACCCTAACAGGGCCTCAGTCACGTGTCAATTGCGCACTTCCGTCGTCTTAAATTGCGATTCCGGCGACTTTAGCCACCCCCCCCCCGACAGAATCCCCCACGCCGCTCACGCGGCGTGGATTGGGGTTAAACTAGATGGCTGGGACTCAAGAGCAGCAGCTATCGCATCTCCTGCAGCTTCCTTCATTTTATTTCCTCGTGAGTCCTAGCCATCTAGTTTAGGGGGATACTCTCGGCGGTGTTCGCAATTCGGCGGTGGCGTTATAGTCCCCGGAAGTACGTAATTGACACGTGACTGAGGCCCTGTTAGGGCATATTTTTCGGCTCGATAATTTATGAACGTTATTCGGAGGATAGCCAAATAATGTATTTAAAGAAGTATGTTGATCGGGAGAAGTTGTGTTTTGTAGTAGTGGTGCGGTAAGCTGACACGTTTTAATCGACACTGATGGAAGTAATATTTGTGTAGTTTAGTGAGACGTTGGAAGCCACTTGGATCACTATTACCTTTCAGTTTCGCGTGAGCTTATCTGCTGCGTCCATTATAACAGTCAACAACACCTGTATGGTTACCCGAGGCACATCACGACCTCGACAGAACCAGGTAGACTACAGATAACAGTACAAACGTGTCGCTGAATGACTGAGTGACTAAAATACATGACTAATGTTATCACGCCGTGTTTATGTAGTGAGAGCCTTTTGGCATTACATGTGTATGATAACTTTGGTCATATTTCTGAGTGACGTCATGTAATGGTAATTAATTACAGAACGCTGTGCCGCGCTACCTCAGGCGCGTGGCATCTGGGGCTTATTCCAAAAACTAGAAACAATTCGGCACACGATATCATCATCATCATAAGCCACGACAGCTGTTGAGTGACGTGCCACCATTTAGATGAAGATTACACATGTTTTAGAAACCCCGTTCACCCGTTAGGTTACATTAGGGCCCCCGAAAACCGCTGGAGTGGGGCTTTAAATTAACAAACAATTTTGGAACATATTACTTCTGCTGTTAAGCGTTGAAGGAAGGGCAGTTTACGATCTAGTGAAGGCTGGCTGGCATTGGGTATTGTCATGCTATGAAGTTGTGACAGCTTTAACGTTGTCGATCCATTTTTGTCCCCCTTTTGCTCTTGAAGCAGATCTTCTAAAATGAAGTGCTGGTAATAGTATTCGATGCTACATTCTAACGAGATGGACCTAGTACCGTCTTTATTTCCCAGCATATTTCCTGATATCCATTTCAACGTATGTTGACCTGGGAGTCCAGGGGAAACAGCCCAAGCTTCCACTAGGACTGGAACACACTAGTAAGGAACGGAGGATAATGATGCTAGCTACTGAGTCACCCTGGCTCTCATCTGTATTTATGCTATGATATCTTCTGAGATGATGTAACCACTTTACTTCTACGATGGGTTTCTATAAATTTAACAACGGTAATATGGCTGATCCAGTGTATTAATCAATACATGATTGTATCGAATGCAAACTTGTCCAGGGAACAACCCTGTGCTGTAGCGAAGCCACCACGTTCAGAACGTGAGGCAAACATCCTGCCCAATCCACTACAGAGATACCACGTCACACACACACATGCCCAACCTAAGGGAGTTTGAACCCAGGACAACAAACCCGTTTCGTGAGTTTAGGAACCACTGCGGTACAGCCATTTATGTAACACGACCATGAGTAACATCTTGTCTGAACAACCCCCCCCCCCCCTTTTTTTTTTTTTCCACTCACCCATACAAACACACACACAGAGACACACACATAATCCTCCCGGTGCGGATTTTAATTCTCAAGTTATAGCTGCAGATGTGACGCTACTGCAAACACAGGTGTCCGACAAATTGCCAGTGTAAGCTCTACCACACGATCATTCCCTGACATGTTCTGAAGCCTGGCCTGTCTGTTTGTATTTTCTGGGATAGTTTTTTGGTAAGTATAAACTAAGTGTTTAGTGAAGAATTAACACCACGGTACTCAGAGCATTGCCATAAACGCTCCGTCCTCATCTTGAGCAGCCGGCGAAGAGTGTAAGTATAGGCTAAATGTCAGTAAAGATTTCGGTATTGTGTTCAATATTTATAAAGGACCCTTCCCTATAGCTTCAGGCGTATTGGGCATATAGGGCTAGACCTATATGTTACAGACAAATCGGCAGTCGTTGGGTGATGTGGTCAGCATCACGCCGACCGCCTTTACATCCCAGTCTTACCTGGTAACTATTTTAAGTGGGGTAAACATGAGAGCCAAGGCCATTTAAAAAAAAAGAAGTCCGACTCTGTCAGAATTTGAACCCACGACCCTGGGATCCCACGACAAGCGTCTAGCCGCTACCTCAAGGCGGCTCCTGGCATTTATAGCCCCGTGATGTTTCCTGATACCCGTTTTAGATTGGGTCGACCTAGTAGAAAAGATCAGTAATGAAAAGAACAGAAAAACGCATCCTACCCGACGACGACTCGCACTGAAGACATCCTGGCCAGTCGAAGAGGTCCTAGCTACTACTTTATTGCAGCTCCTTCTATACTGTAGGTCTAGATTTGAAATTCAGTATCTGTAAGATGTCGCAAGGTCCGTGAAAATGACGTTAGGAATAAAACCATATACATATACTAGGTATTAAAAATATACTTCCTGAACTGTCCAATGGGTGAACACGAGAGTGGTATTTTGCAAAGACTTGCTAAGTGATGATGATTATGATGATGATAACGATAACGACGATGACGTTGATAAATATCAAGAAAATATGAATGACAAAGACATACTTCATATTGTCAACAAAGCGTTAAATAGGCATATATTATGCACAGGCGTGCAGATCAATTTACCGACATTGAAACAGACTGCTCGAGTCCAGCAACACACACATTGTGTGTAGTCTTACTTTACAGTTGCCGTCGGTGTGTTAGTTTACATTGTAATTGATAAACACAACAACTGTACAGTGGAAAATATAATATGTGTTACACTAAAATATCAAACTCAGTTATAAAAGACAACTATAATTAAAGGTATACATTGATATGTGAATGTGTAAAGGATAAAAGTGGAATGCTGACTATTTGGTAAGAAAATCAATAACATCTCGATAGAAGTAACTATG